CCACATCTCCTAGTGCTTGCAAATGAAGGAAGAAAAAATGAAAGAACTGTAGGCATATAAAAAAATCTTGGAGGTGACACAAGGCCAGCTGGGTGCTGACCTTTTGGTGTCCTCAAAAATCACTATTTTCTCTGGTTTAAAAAAAAAAAAACAATAATACATGACATGCATATATGTATATGTATATATATACATACATTAGGGTATATCTATAAAATTTTGCAAACTGAAATTAAAAGAACACCCAAATACATGAAATGCACATATGTATACATAAATATATAAATATATAAATATATATTAGGATAGATGTACAAATTTTTGTAAACTAAAGTTACCACTTTGGAGGGTGTTATAGTAATTCACCTCTCAACAGTTCAAATTTTATTTTTATTGAAGATAGAAATTTCATTATTTTATGAAGATGTTATAAATTTATGTAGATTCAATAAAGTTAGATTTAACTTATTAGTAGATTTATAAAATTTTAACAATTAATTTAAACTTCATTTCAGTAATTTATTATGATTCTGATAAAGAAAATATTCAATTACAGCTAAATAACCATAACAGGTTACTTTTCATATCTATATATTTTTTTTAAAAAAAAAAATGTATTGAAAATTAAATTTTCTAAAAAAAAGTGAAAAAAGAAAACACAAGAAAAATATCTGTAGATGGGTTAGTTTGGTGCTTCAAGTTTGGACAAAATGATTTGTCAAAAGCCACTAGCTTTAATTATCTACTGGTCTGCCTTTGGTCTCCGCAATCCCCTGCAGCCCACATTTCTCTATCATCTCTTTTCTTCCCTTCATTTCTCTTCTTCTTCTTCTTCTTCTTCTTCTTCAACCTAGCATCCCTGCAGGAAAATCAGAGTCAGAAACAGGCAACAGAAAACAGAATTTTCTTAGCTGCATTCAACGAAAATCCTTGGCAGCCATGGCATTTGCAGGAACAACACAGAAGTGCATGGCCTGCGACAAGACTGTTTATCTGGTCGACAAGCTCACTGCCGACAATCGAATCTACCATAAAGCCTGTTTCCGGTGCCATCACTGCAAAGGAACTCTTAAGGTATATAAATAGACATATATACACATATGTACACACACAGACTTTCATTTCAGATCCAGTCCCCGATCATCTTTTATAGGCAGTACCCTTCAGTTCATGTTTTCTGCTATTGTGAATCTGAGACCGTTTTTCTTCCTAGAAATGGGAATCTGGGTCTAATATATCATACTTGATCAATAAAACCCATGAACCAGAATGAAATGCTGCAAAGTATGCCAACTTTAAGTATAGTTTTTTTCGTATATGAAATCAGGACGGTAATAAGATGTATTTGCAGCTTGGAAACTACAATTCCTTTGAAGGTGTCCTGTACTGCAGACCACACTTTGATCAACTCTTTAAAAGAACCGGCAGTCTTGACAAAAGCTTTGAAGGTAACTGGTTATCGTGAATTGATCTTTAGAACCAGATGTTTTCTTTTCTTCTTGTTAATTTGGCTGATTCAATTCCATATTCCACTTTACAGGGACACCAAAGATTGTAAAGTCAGAGAAAGCTTCTGACAATGAGGTAGCTCTGCGTCTTAGAAACTGAGTCTTTTAGTACTGATCTGATATCTAACCTGCTTTAAACAGAAAGCTGCAGCAACCAAAGTCTCGGGCATGTTTGGTGGAACCAGAGAGAAATGTTTTGGCTGCAAGAACACAGTCTACCCAACTGAAAAGGTAAGAATCAAGAGCATAAGATTCTACGAATCAAGATCACAAGATTCTACAGTTTATCTAACATACTGAACTAAGCTCTCAAGAATTGTCATAGCAACTATAGCCCATATGTTGTCTTCTGTTTTATAAAGGTGACAGTGAATGGAACTCCTTACCATAAGAGCTGCTTCAAATGCACCCATGGAGGATGTGTGATTAGCCCATCAAACTACATTGCACATGAAGGCAGACTCTACTGCAAACACCACCATACCCAACTCATCAAGGAAAAAGGTAACTTGAGCCAGCTTGAGGGTGATCAAGAGAGGGATTCTGTGACCGAGGGTGTAGCTGCAAGGGAAGTAGCTACCAAGTCATGATCATCTGCGTCCCCGTCCTCCTGGCACTTATGCTGATTCCGATCTCCCTGCAGTCCAAATGACAAAATATGATGTATTTCTAATTCAAGTGTGTGGTTTCTTGCTTGTTATAATTTGGTTTTTCTCCTGCAATTTGGATGTTTAATTGATATGCTATCACCTGTTTGGTTCGCTGTTATATGGTGAGATGTACTGGTATAATGTGTATTTTGAACAGATTGATAATTCCAAATCTTCCTCAGAATGTTTCTGATGATCTTTCTAAGAAAAGCTTATGCACAGACAGGAAAGGAGGAAGAGAACATCAACCATGAAAATTAAAATGTGATTTCACACATTCATAATCACTCAATCTGTGCATTATTAATCAACATTTTAACATGATATGAAGCACCTCAGTTTTGATGGCACATCAGTAAAACCACACATTCGTAATCACTCAATCTGTGCATTATTAATCAACTTTTTAACATGATCCAAAGTAGCTCAGTTTTGATGGCACATCAGTAAAACTTTTATGAGAAGGAATCAATCACTACAGATTTGGATTGCATCAAGCAGACAACCATCTCTAACTATATGTTTCAGATCTACAATAAAATGGTCCCGGAGAAACCCGAATCCAAAAGTTCCATTCTTGTACAGCCAAATCCTTCCTTCTACATTCCAGGGATTGCTTGAAGTTTCTCTCAAACCCGGAATAACTAAATCGTAACTTGAGTTAATGTATAAAATGTGAGAGACCACCTCAAAATCTGGCAAAGGAAGATGACCCTCTATGAGATCCTCTACCACTGGTTGGCAGAAATGGACTCGACTATCATACACAGATTCTTCCGCTGGTGAGAATGGAGAATCAATAAAGGTAGGGTTCATTGTCCAGAACACTGGAGAATAACAAGAGGATAAATCCCCAATCCTTCGGCAGATGACACCACCAACTTCATCGTAAGTAACAAGATAAAATTCCAAATTGGTTCCATCACAAAGTCCCTGCGATTCAAGCAGGAGAGAATCAAAAACTAGCTGTTGAAGAGCTCTTGTCCAAATATTCCATCCTCATCTTTCAACAAATTTATTGAAGCAAAATGTGAAGCAATAACGCAGAGAAGGAAGCCATGGAAAGCTAAGTTTGGAACAAATTAATTAAGCCGGGATCTACAAATGAACTCCACTAAATTTCTTATTTCGTTCCAAACGTAGCCTTACTTAAAAGAAACTAGCAACCTCTTACAACAGCAACTTTAGTATTTCAGCTATGAAATCCTTGATTTCAATATTGAGCTTAATACTGGTAAGTGAGAAAATACTGCATCAAATGCTTAACAAGAAGTAGTTCCGACTTCCTGATTTCATTGACATAACATCAGAAGCTAGAAGTAACAGTAACAGCGACTCCATGGGACATCCAGTGACACCACAACTCAGACAACAACCTAAAAAATTTATACCAAAATAAAGCACAACATTCATGACCCAAGATAGGCAGTAAATGACCATGCAAGAACACATCAATGGACTAAGAATGACCATGCAAGAACACGTCAATGGACTAAGAGAGTTCGAAACTTTGCTTCGTAAAAGAAAAAATAGAGAAGACAAAGCAAGAAAACTGCTAGTATTTCAATCAACAACACCTTCCATAGACCTTGCAGAGGCCTTGATGGGGTCGGCGAGCAATCGGAGACCTTAATGAAATGCTCCGGCTCCCACTTCCTTCTCCCCTGCCTTTCCTTCTCCTTCCTCCTCTGCCTCCTCCTGTCGCTACCGGGACTCGTCCGGTTGGCAAATTGGGTATACATTTCACTCACCGAACACTCTGGCAAGCTTCCAGGAGTCCCGCCAACGACATCTTCGCTTTCCTCTCCTCTCAAGTTCCCGAAGCTCGAGCTTCTCCGAAATCCGATTCGTTTCTCCTCTCGCGAAGTCGAGGAAAGGCTATGGTCTTCCTCCACCAAAACATGACCGTTTCCCATGAAATTGACATTGACTGGAACGAAACTGCCATCCAAGATTCCAAACTTGAAGCAAGCCTCGACATCGCCGGACCAATTGTTCTGGCCGTCGAGGTCGAGGAAGTTCAGGATTTGGCCGTCCGGAGATATGCCCATCCACAAAAACGGCGCCGTTTTTACCTGATAAGTTCCGTTCTTGGAGGGGTAAACCCTCGAAGCACATAGGAAAAATGGTCCCCATTCGAAGAAGATCAAAGGCGGAGACGAAACTGCTGTGTTCGACTGACCGCACCGGCGCCAAAAGCCTATCAGATTCTCCCATTCCTCGAGGGTCCTGTACAGTTGCCTATAAGTGATTCTCCCGTTTCCCCATTTCCCTATCTGGGTCTTCGTCCCCCACCTCCTCTCGCACAACGCGCCCCAAAGTTTCCTGTCATCTCGACAGAGCGAAGCGAAATGTTTTGATGTGCAAGCAAAGCTGGAGATCTCGGTTGGCGACAAGAATGAGAGGATACACAGCTGAATGTCCTCGGGGAAATCAGTGAAGCAAAGTGACTCTCTTTCCTTGATTTGACGAGTTGGATCTTCCACACTGGTCATGTTTGGTGAATTTTCTCGGAAAAATTACACAGGATGATAGAAAATGGAAATGCGTATGTAATGAATTGCAAGATTTAGGATAAGATATAAGGAAACCAAGAGAAAGAAAAATGTACTGGTTTGGTAGATTCTTGGTGAAGACGGAATGATTCTTTGGAGTGTAGAAGGAAATCTGGAAATTTTCAGCGAGGTCTGTAATTTCCGTAAGATGTTGGGATAAAACTATAATTCGGATAGAAAGCAGGGGTCCCAATAGGATTGTTGCTTTTTGAGTAATGGTGCACAGTTATTCTCTAACACCCATTTGTTGGTTTAACAATCGCTTACGTTGAGTTTAACTAAACAACAATTTCTTAATTATTTGCAACACTAATATAAATTTCATGAAGATCATACATTAAAAATAATAGCATAATTTATCATGTAGTTGTCACACTGATAATATTTTAAAACTACAAGTTTAAATAAACACGTATTCTACCGTGTAAACTAATAATATTCAACGCTTCTTTAATCATAATAATTTATTCAGATAAAATATAAAAATATATAAAAGTTATAATAGTCTAGATCATTGAGGGAGAGTGAGATGGACGGTTAGGATGAGATGGATGAAATCAACTGTTGGGAGTAAGTTGTAGAGAGGGGTGTACGTATGGGCAGTCAGTTGTGTGAGGGAGAGGAGTGAACAAGAGATGTCGTGAGGACGAGAACAGAGTCTGTGGATGATGAGTTGTGTGTAACCGAGGGGTGAGGTAACTGTGAGAGTGGGATGCATTGTTGTACAGGTATACGTATAGGCGGTAGGTGATTGGTGGCGAGTGTAGGTGCAGTTGTGTGTGTGTAGGGCTACTTGCCGAGGGCGACTCCTTCTATTGTACAAGGATGGTGGCTCGTGGGATGTATGTGTGAAGTTGTAGGTGGAGTGGGGTTTACATGATACAGTGGCTAGGTTGGACACTCTGTGTTGTGTGTATGTATAAGTACTTCGGTGTGGGAGGCCTCTTGGCCGGTGTTGGTGGATTCTGGTATACTGCTGTGGAAATTAGTGGCACATTATGCGTGTGTGTGTAAGGCCTTTGGCCGATGCTTGCAGATATAGATGTGCCAATATAATGAGTAGTGTTATGTTGTATGTATGGCCACTCAGTGGTCGATGGGGCACTCCCTTGGTCAAGTGTATAGGAGGCTGTTTAGCTGATGTTGGTGGAGTTCGGTGGGGCCATTCAGTGATCATTGCGGTGGGAATAACAGTGTGTATTTGACGTTGTGGTGCGGTAGTGCACGGGGCCATATAACAGCCTATATGAGGATTATGTTTGCTGTTGGGGCAAGACCCCAGGATACAACAAGGGTGTGTGTGTGGGGTCATGGTAGACCGGTGTTTGATGAGAGGTATGACAGAGGTGGGGTTGATTGAAAGGGTGTATAGGTGTGGCGTAAGGACTACCGGAATGGTGTCGAGTTGGTAAGGTGTTGTGGTTAAAACAAAAGGGGTAGAGTGCGAGTCTGTCATGTGGTTGGGAGAATGAGGGGCTAACGGTAAGGGGTTAGGTGGGATAAGCAGGGAATAATGTTGTTATTTAATAGTTATAAAGGGAGGAAAACAGAATGATAAAAATAAGGAAAATGATAGTATGGAGGGAGGTCATTTAATTGTTATTCATTAGTTTTAGTTCCAAATTTCTTCTTATTGAGTTATGCATACTTATTACTCTTATTTCAGATGCTTTGAGGCCTCAACCGAAAATGGAGAGCTTAGGAATGGAGCACCGGGCTTAAAAGTAGTAAGATGTTCTCATTCATAATGAGACATAGTAGTAAACTTATAGTATTGGAATAGTGTTGGAATTTTTATGTGTGTGGTAATAGTTGAATAGCTTCTTTGATTATAGAGTTATTCATTGTACGAGAATTGATTTCTTTTTGAACTAATGAATATGTGTGGTTTGGTTGGAAAATTATAAATATTTTGTTTGGGGTGGAAGAATGAATAATGTATAATTCTATAGTAGAAATCGTTTAGGGGCGTCACAAAAGTTATACTAAAATTATTTATTTTAGATAGTATTAACAAGTATCAAATGTTTTAGTAAGATGGTTATATATTAACCATTTGCTTTGTCCTAAGAACGTCTTCCTTAAATAATTGACTCTCCATCTCAAAACTAAGCTTGAAGCTAGCGTAAATTTTGATCTACTATAATTTTTATATCTATCGAGTTTGAGAAAATTTTATGTTATGCAAGCATAAAATAATTAGACAATTAATAGTAAAAAACATATATATATTTTTGGTGCCTAAAAAATACTCACACACACACACACACACACACATATATATATACAAACTAAATTTTCCTTTAGGTATACGAATATGTTTTTGGTGTTTATTTTTAAAATTCATGTACATTTTTACTAGTATGCAAATATAATAGGACATAATAAAAAAATTTATATTAAAAATGTTTTTTATTTTTTAAAAATTATATGCATATTCACCATATATTTTTTATATATTATTTTTACTTTTAAAAATTACTCTCACATATATATGAAATTAAAAATAAAAAATATATTATAAATTTATGTATTTTATTAATTAAAAAATATATGACTAAATATCTGATTCATAGTTAAACAAAAATAAAAAATAATTATCAAATAAAAGTTTTAGTATAACTGTATTACTGTATAC